TACGTAGTATTTGATACTAATACTGAATGTAAGCCTCTTTTTCACTGATGAGAATGCCAGAGAAGAGAAATAAAGACAGCATGTTAAAATGCAATTGCTTCAGGATATGGAATATTTAGGAGTTGTAGTCAATCTGTTCAAAAGCCCTTAAATACGTTAGATGTCAAAGGAGTATTTTACTTGATGATAAAAATATTGTTTGCAATATATACTTAATTAAAAAGGTCATCAGCATTGTGTTTTGCTAGCATTACTGGGAATGAGGCACTAGGCTGATATTCCATAGAACCAACAGCCTCTCTACCCATACAGGATGGACAAGGCAGCTCAAAAATTGGTTTTAACTCTATCTTAGGGTCAATATTATGCAAGTGTAAATCCAATCCATGGTACCATAAAAAGTAAGAATTGCTTACATATTATATATTATTATTATTATTATGTGAAAGCTGTCAGAGATCCCATTAAAATTATGGCAGAATTCTCAAGGAACTGGCACCTCTTTATTTAATAAATAATCAGTATTCGACTCGCTTCATTTTCGATTTTGCAGAAAGGCTTTTATTGATTTCTACTACTTTCTTACGTCCTCTAATTTTACCAGAAGCTCGGTTCAGAACACTTAAATATGAACTTCCTGCAGGTAGCTGTTCTAATCTATAATTGTTTTGTCAGCTATATCCAGCTGTTCTTTTCCCTATTTACTATATGCTAATTCATTCTACCAGCTGTAAATGAACCAGAGAGCAGTCGCAAATATTGGATTGCCATTGCTTATTTACTTTCAACTAAAGTATCACATCATGCCCATTAATACGCAGTTTATTGGATGGTAGAATCTGAAATTTTGACACTGCTTTATTCCAGGGAAATAATGATTATCAATGCACAGATACTTGGCTGGAGTGGATGCGTCAATCTGTTTTCTTTTCTTTATGTGTTTTGTGTTCTTTATTTATTTATATGTCGTTTTATTACATGTTCAACTGTTTACTCTTTTTTTTTTTTTTTTTTTTTTCCTCCCAGTTCGTTTTTGTTTTGTCGGGCTGGCCTCTAAAAGCTTTATGGCTGAATCATTGGCCGGGGGAGTTGGGGGCTTCGCCTTTAACATAGTAACTGCTTGCTGTTCATAGAAGGCCAAGTCCCAAAGTTTAATCTTTCTTTTTTAAAAATGCAAAAAAAAAAAAAAAAAAAAAAAAAAAAAAAACAGTACTAATAATAGTAAATTTATGTACTTGCTTGTAAAAATAAAAGGTGGCTAACTGAGAATCAGTTGGGGTTTCATCAAACAAAGGCATATGTGTTAAGAGTGTGTTGTTAAGTTATCCATAAATGGTGCTAAATTGTACTGTTTGATGAGTTTCACAGTTGATAGAATTATACGTAAGTATCTAATAATCAAACTGATTTCCTCTTGCTTATGTGTTGTTATTACCATGTTTTCCCTAAAGACCCAGTCTTATATTAATTTTTGCTGCAAAAAAACATATTGGAGCTTATTTTAAGGGGATGTCTTATTTTTCATGCACAATAATTAACATCTGTTCATGTTAAAGAAACACATTTCTCCAGGTTTAAAAAATACATTTATTCACTCCCATTCAAAAAACATTAAAAATGAATAAGATCATTTATCCTAAATACAGCCGTGTCATTTTCTTCTAGAACATTGCCACAAAATTCCAGATCACAAAATTTTGGTTTGACATTTTTGCGACTTCATTTCGTCTAAGACCATTGGCTCCAGCTTCTCATGTTGAGCAATAGCAATGTCCTCTCATGTTTAGCAATATCTTCAAATGAGCTTTTCTTGTCTATATAGTCTCCAAACAGGTCATTGGCAGCACAGCTGTCCATTATTTTACTCTATGCATTCTTCATCCAAGTAATGACTTCTTATAGCTTAGGCTTGCTTCTTATAGCAAAGCATTTTCGTTGATTTCTCTCCATTATATTTTCAACGTAGTCATTGATTTCTAAGCGCAAATGGCCTTTAAATGGATTGTGTACTGCAATATATCAGTTTGAGATATGCAGTCATTCCTGCGAGAATCATTATTTAATATATTTGTCTTTGTGCAAGGAAGTTCATGGTTTTAGTGTGGCGAGTGTTGGGAGAATCTCACACTAGCATACCTTTCTGGACACCTTGTAGAGTACCTCACTTTGGAATTCTATGTTAATGTTAGAAGTGAGGAATCTAAGAACTGATAAGCGAATAATCGCTTGCGTTCGGTAACAAGAAACAACAAGATAGAAGGGTAACTAACCCTTTATTATTCTAATAAGATTTAACAAAACTCCACCTGGGGTGTACAAGCAAAGCCGCACTTGGACTTGAACTAAAAAAGACTAGAATTAAACTAAAATTAAGATTAACTAAAAAAGAAATATAGTCGAAGCTATCAAGATTCAGATTTGAGTTGGCCCCTTAAACATCAGATGACTGCGAAGCTATCAAGGGCCTGAGCACGACCGAGCGTATTAACAGCTTTGAGAGAGAGAAAGTGGCCAGAAGGCACACGCGCGTAAATCAGAAACTCTGATTCTCTCTCGCTGAGACCAGAGAACTTCGCAGTTAAATACCGCTCTTCCTCATTATAATATTCATACGTTATTCTAAAACTACGTTCTGGCCGGAAGTAGTAAGTTGAAGTTAAGAATTTGACAGGAAAGAAACTTTAACTTCAAATTTAACTGTTAATAAAATTAACATAATCCTTACAACCTCATAAAAGAAATTGGTAGAAATAAACTGACCTACTTTCTTATTGCTGCTTGTGTGCAGTAAGCTTTTTCAGTCTCAAAAACATAAATACTTGAAACACTTTCAATATCCTCTTTCTTGCCCTTAAGGGAGATTTCTTTCCATCGAGACGAATTTCAAAATACATGTTATGCATACACTTTCATAACTAGTGGAGAGAATGTAAATCGCAGAAGTAGCACTCTGATCAATGTTAGTTTCAGACTCCTGATCCATAAACACTGCAGTTTCAGTCATAGAAATCATGTTTGAGAGTTAGTACAATTATCAACATGATTCCTATGAGTCAACATGATTGGTCAATGCTATCAGCAAAACACTTGAATGCAAATGCATGTATAATCATTTCAGTACTTAAAATTTGAACAGTGTTATTAATCTTCTTAGAGACAGTTCATATTGCTGAAGAAAGCCATCCACCCAGTGTTGTCATGCTTTGAATTTGTCTAGCTATTGCAGGTCTATGCAATTGCTAGACAATGCTTGAATATCAGCCATGCAAACAACCGAAAACTTTGCTCTTCTGTCAGCAATTCATTTAGAGATTGCTGTATTCCAATTCAGGAAATAATGGTAGTCGACCTGCTTCAGATTTACACTTCTTGGCATTTCCCTCGTTGACTAAGGTTACTGCATTCTGATTGCCATTTTCAGACCATTCATAGATCTAACTTCTTCTCTGCAGAAAGCTGTAAGATTTTTTATCCCTGGAGTCTTTCAAAATTCCTTTCTTATACTTAGCATAATAGCTCTTTCTTTTTGCACTCATTTTATCTCAGCGTAAAAACTTACTATCTTATAAATCTATTAAATCAAGTGCTAAATTACCATTGCTAACACGATGTATTGAATACCGAAGATTCATTTTTCGTAATCATGTCCCTTTGCTTCAAATGTGTATGCACATTGTGTCTGCATTTGGTCATTTGGCAATAAGATGCCAATCTGGTGTCCAGGTAATAAGGCATGCATCTGCTGACAACCTTAACTAGGGCTTATTTTAAGGGTAGGGCTTATCAAAAGTATCCTGAAAAATCCTGCTAGGGCTTACTTTTTGATTAGCTCTTATTTCTGGAGAAAAATGGTAATTATAATTCTTAACTATATTATGCAGTGCCTATTACATGCCGATATGTTGCTTTGCTGTATTGATGCTATGCCGCTGCTGATCCTTACACAGTGTCAATTGTATGACTTTGAATGACATTTTTTTTAATCCTATGCCTGTCTTTGGCATTTCTGCCATTAATCAGCAAGCAGCCCAATGAAACAATGAGAGTGCAAAAAAAGAAGAGCAAGGATTGAAATTAGCCTCCACAGGGTTGTCAGTAATAAAATTTAAAATAATAGGGCAGTTCTTAAGGTGATCACCATCCATATCACCCTGATGACACAGAGGGCAACAAGCTGAATCCTTGAACGCAATCTGATGTAAATGTTGCTGTAAATAATTATGGCCAGTTGTCATACAAAAGCAAGCAACTCCAACAGCCCAAGGTAAGGAAGTGGGGATTTTATTTCTTTGGCTGAGCAGTATATTCAACTTCTTATCCATTGTTGCACCAACATATAAGGATAACCTGCTATTTTTTATTTTATTATAAAAATTATTTTAATATTACTGAATGACAAATGTGTGTTAATCCTCTTACTCGTAACTGCGTGATTATAAAAAATTTCTATTTTATCGTATTGCCTGTATATTAGACCTATGAATGTAATGCACATTATTCACTTTACATTTGTTTCAATATTTCATTTAAGATGTATATTTGTTTCATTTTGAATTTATTGTTCATCTCTTTATTTTTTATTTAAATCAATTTATTATCATTTTATTTAATTCTATTTATTCATTACTAATTGCTTAGTTTTGTTAACAGTTTTTGACTGTATTCAATAGGGCTGCAGCACTTTAAATTAAGCCCTGATTGTCAAGCTTTCAATCAGTGAAAAGTATGCTAATAAGAGTCAAAGGTTCTAATGAAAGCACAAGGACCAATGGCTGTATAATTGCACAGTTCAAAAGTCAACTAAATCAATCTTTACTTTCAAATAAAAATAAAAGTATACTTAAGAAAGTTATAGAAGTAACTGCAAAATAAGAGCACTGAAAAAATATTTTTTACTTAATTAGCCATTCTACTATTTGTACCAGTAAATGCACAAATATTTTTGTGAAAAATTTATCATATTATCAAATTCACCATATTTGAATCTATTAATTAAAACCTTTTGAATATAACTTTAGAAAATTTTTATTTGAAACACAAATCATAAGTTTGGTATAAATTTATGAGAAATGATTTCCTAAAATTTCACTTTATAAAACTGGGACATTCAAAAAATCAATTTCAAAAAGTCTGCATAATAGGAACAAAGTGCAAACTGAATTTTTTTAAAAACCATTATTAAAAAAATTAGTTTACTATTTTGTACAATAAAATTACACTACTGATCTGTGTAACTATAAATCTAAAACCTATATACAATAAATACATTTTTCTCTATTTACATAAATAACATTATATATTGAATATGTCTAGAATGAAACTTATCACAAAGTAAGCAATCACATCAACTATTATATAAGATATTGATTATTATGTGTATACAGATTTAATTCAAAAGTAAATCAACTTAAAAATAAGAAACAGATCACAATACATCATTTAGGAACAAACAGCAACAAATGCAATTAATGAACCAACCTGATGAAAAGGGAATGAGAAGTAGGTTACAAAACTATCCACTTGGGGTAGATTTGCAACATTAGGTCTAACTGAAAGCGCTAAGATATATGCCGTTTCAGTCATATTTTAGTGTTCAAAGAAATGTCACACAACATTTTCTATTGAAAAATATATAATGTGCTTTCAAAACTTCACAAAAATTAAAATTTGAAAATAATCAAGCATTTGCCACTAACAAATTCAGTTTTACTGATTAAAATTTCTATATCCATTCACACTAAGTAGTTACACAATGAACATATATTAATTATAGGAGATAGATAATATATGCAAGAAATTATTTTTGTCAAAATATTAAAGTAATTGATTAACTCTCAAAGAAAGTTGTAATTTTTATTTTAAATAAGAGGAAATAACCTTAGCATCCTCTAAAAAAGTACTCTGTAGATGAGCTATAAAAGAAAAATTAGTACTCCTTGATTATCCGTTAAATCATCTCACAATGTCGCCAAACGTTGATAACTAATTTTTTGCTAAACTAACACATGAAAAACCAAAGTTATTTTTTAAAATGGTGGCATATTGAAAATTACATAAAACAGAAACATATTAACAAAATTAAAAATGCAAGAATTATCCACAATAAAACATTGAAAATTACATAAAACAAACATCTATAAAGAAATGCTTAAAATTACATAAAACAACAAAAAATTAACTAAACATGCAGTAAACATCCATAACAAAACATAACTTTTCTTTTTCACTGGTCTTCTGACAATGTGCAACAAAATCTGTTTTAACTTACAAAACATCAGAATTATCGGCATTGCAGATAATTCTGATATTCTGAACTTGCCATTGTTCTCCATGTATACATCAGAATGTAAGTTAAAAAACACCAGAGAAGACCACAAGTTAACTTCATGGAATGTGCATTCTTAGAGTTTTTACTACTAGGCAAAACATCATACTTCAGATAGAATTCAACATTTTCTTTTTTACTAGCTGGCAAACTCTACAGTGGCATTATAATTTGTTACAAGGGAGAAAAATCCGTGCAACACGTACACACTCGCAAACTAATTACTACAAACAGAAAACACAAACATGATCTTCGAATTTTAAAACTGCATGCTTTACATCAGTCCATAATACAAGCACAACCATTGGTCGGTTGCCAGAAAATCGCAATTTCACAAAATTCTGCATTGTCTACTTCAACGACATAACACTTTGCACAGTGATTCTTGTCAGGATTAAGCAGATAATCAGAGAGTACTGAATAATTATTTATCACACATACTGAAATGAAAATGAAATAGCTTACTTCAAATATCATTTCACATGAATTTTCATACTAACATGCATATTTTTAAATCATTTTTAGTCAATTTTTATTTCAATAAAAGATTCATATACTGTCTTGCGTTAATAAATACAAAAATTAAGAAACTATTTGAAGACATTAATGGTTACTAATTAAAAAGTAACCAATTAATATTAATAATCCTATAACCTTAATATTAATTAAGGTTAATTAACATCTAACCAACACTTTTTTCACATACATAAATATTTTTTTTAATCATATGACCTACAAATAAAAGGAAATTAAAATAAAATAAACATAAGGAAGAACACAAAATTAGAGCATTTTACAGAGGTCATAAATCAGTCTGTATACATTCATCAGTTCTATTCATAATAGCCTTTTGTGCAAAGTCACTTCTTCGTGACATATTAAGTTCTAATAAATCTCTAATTAAACTGTTTTCTTTTTCCAAGCGGGTCACAATTTCTTGCTCCTTAGAAAAGTTTTTTTCATCAATTTCTACAGCTTTTTGCATAACAGCAGACATTTCTATTATTTTATCAGTTCGCTTCTGTAGTTCCTGTACAATAAAAATGTAATTAAAATAATTACAATCTTCAACTTTGAAATAATTTATAAAGGCAACACTAAATATTGTAATATTTAAAAAATTGCACATGACGTATAAAGCATTTTTTTACCCTATATACTACAGTACTTTTATAAGCTGCATTTAGAAATACTTATCAAAGATTAAATGAAGATGAGATGATATTTTTTAGTACTTTTTTGTTAAATGTTCAAATATAAAAGGGGGCATGAAATGCAGCCTAAAAAAGTAAATGCAACCATAATTATACATTCCAGATGTACTAAAAAATTACACTATGCATGAATAACTGAGAAAAACAAAACAGAGCAACTGTGACAAAACGGAAGCATGATTAATCAAATCAGTTTAGTGTTCCCAGACAGAGTAGACCATTTCCTGAATTCTGTCACCATACCAGGAAAACTGGATTTCCATGTGAAAACAAAATTTTACCTCATGAACATTCTAAATTCTACAGATTTTAATTTGAAAAATGATTAACTTTTCCCCCTCCTCCTGATTATTTCAAATATTATATTTCTTGCAGTAAAAAGCGAATCTGGCACATATCTCTATATTTTCTTATCTTTAAATTAGTAGCAACACTTGTTTACGAATGACTTTGCCTACAGAAACAAAAGCAAACTTATTAAATCTTTGTAATACCTTCATAAACTAATTTATTGATGATATTTTAATTCTTTTGTCATTTTCATGTCTTGCATACAGCTCTCTCTCGTTATTTAGCAATTTTCTGAAATTGTTTTTAATTTCAGTTTCATTACTCTGAATATGAATAAAACCCAGTATGTTCCTAAGCTCAGATAAGAGTAGCTATTTAGGATAGAATTCAAAGCTTGGTTTGCTAGAAATAATAAATATTTGAGCAAAATTTGTAAATGCATTTTGGCCCTGAAATACTCAGAGAAAATGGATATGAATACTCAGAAACATAAAACTGCTTCCCCGTATTTGTTTCAAAACAAGTTTCACAAAAGATTTAAAATTTGACAAAAGAAGCCTAGGCTGATTATGCTCATATATTGCAAAACATGGCTCAACAGATAATCTTTCACCAGTATATTATGAAATTTTCAAGCATAATAAATATGCTGAAGATCTAAAATTACATCTACAAAAGGTATTGATATTGTTAAAAACATTCTGACTTCTCATTTCAAAAGAAGTCTTAACAACAAACTATATACCGTGTTTACTCGCAGAATAGTCGCATTCTGTTTGCCAATTTTTCATTGTGAAAGTCTAGGTGCGAATATTATGCGGAGAAATCTACTACATAATATTGTGCACTTTTGAGAATTTCTTCTGCTTCAAAATGGGGATGTGATTATTATGCGAGTAAATACAGTAGTTTAATTATTATATATGACAAAATTACATTTTAGCATACTGCTGTTAAATGTAATTCTAATACTGAAAAAATATAATTATCACTTTTTGCTGTAAGAAAATTAAGAAAGAGTTAAATGTACAAATGGTATTTTCAATGCCACTGAGAATGCCTTATTTATTATTTTAAGAGCTTTTTATATAAATAATTTATTATTTTAAGAGCATAATATAAAAAAAAACTCATTAAAATACGATGGGACTGGCTCATATGACTAAGCAAACAAACTAAAGCTATCTGCTTTCATGGGAAAACTTTCTAATGTTGAAATAGAAGCGATATGCTTCCATTATGGTAAACGCACATAATGAAGTCCATGTAATGAAAACTTTCTAATGCTAAAATAGAAGTGAATGTGCTTCCATTACAGTAAATACATATATTGAAGTCCATCCAAGTGAAAAAAGATATCCTAATCTTTAATCAAAAATGTGCATCTCACTTTTTTCATTTATTCATTTTACGTGCAACAACTGATCATTTACCACTATAATTAAGATAAAATAACACACCGAACAAATATTAATTTAGAAGTCAAACAACAATAGTTATCACTACATCTTATCTCTTTCATTTGCGCTTTGGCAGCTGAGGTTGATGGTTCGTTGAAACCATCGAAACTGTAAAAATTTGCAAATATAACATGATTTTTGTTGCTTGACTTCTAAATTAATATTTACCACTATGTTTAAAAATTTTTATGCAAGCAACTTTATAACTAGTTTGCACATTCTCCAGTCTCAAAACAAATATAAGTTAATTTTATAGCAAAGTAAATAATTCAAATAAACCACTAAATATTCCACAAGCAAATCAGGCACAATGGTTATCAATCAAAATTCCTATAAGGCCCACCAGTTGCCGAGCGGTAAAATTGCTGAACACTGGTAGTTCGGAAATTCGAACTGCATGACTTAAAAGTCAAGTTTTATTTTTTGGGTGGGGTGTTTATTGAATTTTAACGTCTTATTTTTCGAATGGCCGTTGGCACGTGTTTTAGATCTACTGGTCAAAAGAAAGTCACAAACTCAGTTTTGTGTTAATTGAGTTTTTGCGAAAGCAAATTACAGCCCAATTTAATACAATATTGCTTAATTTCATTCGCTGATTAACTGATAGAGTCATATGATCATAGTTTTCAGATTATATTAGTTATTTAATTATGCTGATATTAGTTTTTTAATGTTCAATAAATATACTACTTAAGACTTTGCGCCTTTGTGATGTTTCTCATTTAAAATTTTTGCACTGAAATTACACTGTTGCTTTGGTAATGTAGTAATCTTTATTCTTTATTACTACTTTTTACTTATATTGGTTTGATATTCATGACATTATTGTCTATTTCAGTGGTGCGCAAACTAGGGGTCGCCAGAAGTTTTTTGGGGGTCGCCAAATTTTTATGAAATACATTATGCCTGCATGCTGCATACCATACAGTGTACATATAAAGAGTGAAGCGCCGTCACTCACTGTTTAATTGCAATTTCATGCTGTCCGCTCTTTCTTTGACCGTAATGCGTAATGTATGTAAAGTGTGAAGACGCAAGTTTTTCACTCCGGTAGATAGCGCCCTCTTCGCGATAATTCGCCAGTTTTACTGTAAAGCGCCTATTTGACTAGACGTTAACCGCAGGGAAAGGGGAAAAATTCGCTTCCGTGATCAGCCAATCAGATGGCAAGGTACACAGTGTATCTGATAGTCAGAGTGAAGACGTGAAGTTGTAGCATGTAGCTGTTGGCCTGCAATTTTTTTAGTTTATCCTCGAGTTTTATCGCGTGACGTTGTGTAATTATGATTTTTTATATTTTTATCGGGCTTTGCTACTTTTTGTTATCAGGTATGTACTATCATTAGAGAAAGATCTCTGTTAATTTTATTGAATTTCTCGAAAAAAAATGATAAAATTTTATATATTATTTGTTATGTGTCATTTGCCCTATATGTGTCATTTGCAACGAAAAATTAGCAAATGAGAGCATGAAATCAGCTAAATTAAAAAGGCACCTGGAAATTAAACATAAAGAACTTCAAAATACACATGCCAATTTTTTTCAAAGACGAGCTGAAAATCTGAAAATTCAAAGTGCTTTTAAAGAAATTTACAACAATACCTCAGAAAGCATTACGAGCTTCTTTAGAAGTTTCTTATCTAATAGGAAAAACAATGAAACCCCATACAATTGGAGAATCCCTTATCCTTCCTGCAGCAACTAATATGACATCAATTATGCATGGCGATAAATATGGAAATGAACTAAAAACAATACCATTATCAAGAGATACCGTGTCTCGGCGGATTTCCGAAATGTTACGAAATAACGAGTCAGAAGTCAAGAAAAAGCATGCAAAATTCATCTGTATTTGATTTACAACTGGACGAGACTACCGATATTACTAAAATGTCATGTCACAACTAATTATTTACGTTAGGTTTATTTTTAATGAAGATATAACAGAAACGTTTTTATGTTGCAAAAGTTTGGAAGGGAAAAACAACTGGAGAAAAAATATTCGAAGTAATAAATGAATATTTTGAAACAAAGTCCCTTACCTGGGCAAACTGTTTTGCGGTTTGTACTGATGGTGCTGCAGCATTAACAAGTTCGAATAAAGGGCTTAGAGGCTTAATTCAGGAGGTGGCGCCTCATATGGTATTTAATCACTGTATGATTCATCGGCAAGCTCTTGTTGCAAAAGATATGGATGAAGAGTTGCACAACATATAATAAGACGCTGTTAGTTCAATTAACTACATTAAATGCAACAGCCGTCTCTTTTCAATACTTTGCAATGAGATGAGCTCAACGTATGAGAGATTACTGTTACACACCGAAGTCAGATGGCTTTCACGTGAGAAAATACTACGACGGATATTTGAGAAATGAAGTGTGTATGTTTTTAATTAAAAGGAAACATAGATTGGCAAGTTATTATATTAATGAAGTTTGGCTAGGGAAGCTGAGCTATTTAGTTGATATTTTCGAAAAACTTAACGACTTAAATTTGAGCTTGCAGGGTGAGAATTAAACTATCATATCTTCAGCCAGTAAAATTCAAGCTTTTAAGAATAAGCTTAGTCTCTGGGAAACTGAACTGAATAAAAACAACACCGACATGTTCCCTTGCTTTAACGATTTTATCAAGGAAAATAATATAGATATATTTACATTTAAAAACATCGTTTCCAACATCACATTGAAAAGTTAAAGGAAAATTTTTCGAGAAGATTCGAGGATTTTCCTGAAAACGATCTTGGTTGGATTCGTGATCCATTTTCCTTTGACATATGCAGTTCAACTCTTCAAATTAGTGAGAAAGAGCAATTGATAGATCTAATTAGTGATTATACTCTTCGAAATCAATTTAAGACTCAGCCTTGCCAAAAATGTTGGCTATCCGTGGAAAAACAATATCCCGTTTCATGCAAGAATGCCATCAGAGTGTTAATACAATTTGCATCAACGTATTTATGTGAAACTGGATTTAGCAAACTAGTTTCAATAAAAACTAAATACCGCTCACGTTTAAACCCTGAAGATGATATGCGAATTGCAATTAGCAACATGCATCCAA